TAGTACTGATGCATGCTCATATAAACATATACTATACACAGATATGTATATGTATAAAGTTAGCACTGATGCATCCTCATATAAGCATATACTATCACACATATGTATATGTATCAGTACTAACTTGAGTAACAACTGGTTACTGACATAGTTTTATATTTTCTAGATATTTATTAAACATCTGTTACATGTCATTTTGATATTTCTTTCTCAGGTAGGACGCGATTTTTTTCCAGGTCTCAACTATTTTTTCAGGTTGTTGTGGAAAAAAAAAAAAATCAGATCCTAATCCCATCAGCCTTAAAGTAGCTGAGATGAAAACCTTTAGGGGAATATATGTTTTATGACCTCATCAATAAGTGAACACATTCTTGACGTTCTTCTAAGGCTAAACACACATGTATGTATGATGTGTGTGGGTGCCTGTGTGTGCTGCAATTGGAGGTAAGGTGCTTCAAGCCAAGCATTAACTGTCTGTGGTGGGCATAGTAGGAATCAATGTCGCACTTTATGTGAAAAATGTATCTTGGTCATGTTTTGAGCAGCATGGAATTTGGGAAGAATTATGACATTTGAAGAAGAAAGGAGAAAAAAGAATTCAAACTAGCGCCTTTTCATTTCCATGACCCAGAAAACATGGACTTCTTTTAATTGTTGCCACTAGGATTTCCCAGCTGGCACAGTGGTAAAGAATCTGCCTACCCAGACAGGAGACCTGGGTTCCATCCCTGGGTCGGGAAGATCCCCTGGAGAAGGAAATGGCAACCTGGCCCAGTATTCTTGCCTGGAGAATTCCACGGACAGAGGGGCCTGGTGGGCTATAGCCCAGGGGATCGCAAAGAGTTGGACGTGACTGAGCGGCTGGGCAAACACAACTGTTTCTAAAAGTTGAAGGCTCAGAGGAGAGAGCGGAGGAAACACATCTTTGGCAGGGTCCCCAACAGGAGGCAGCTCGGCAGGGGCAGAAGTGAGTGCTCTGGGGCGCCTTTCAAAGAGGTGGCATCTCCTGAGTTGTTGACAGGCTGGTAGCTGAGGGGGAGGGGAGGGAGGCTCACTCACCTTTTTGACCTTGTGAACTGATCATCCTTAGGTTAAGAATGAACTCCTGTCCCCACACGAATATTGCAGAGTTGGCCCAGACGTGCAGAAGAAGAGAGAGAAGGAGACAGCAAAGGAATCTTGATGTTCCGTGGACCAGACACCATGTACTTATATGGATTTCCATGGAGGAGCCAGTTTACATGCAACACATTCCTTCCTTGAGGTGTTTCAGGACATTCCCATAACAGTCTGTAATTATCCCAGTCAGGGTTCAAGAAACAGCAGGAGACATGGTGAGAAATAGTGCGGGCTCGGTTTACTGCAGACAATGACTGGATTTGGGAGAGAGGCCTCAGAGAGTCTTGTGTGTAGGGGGCTACCATTAGCCTTTTCTTCAAGAGAAAGAGTGTTACTGTCAAATAAGAATCTTTTAAAGCCTTGAGATGCTTACTGGGTCTGACACATGAAGGTCTTCAACCCTGAGAAGCATGTTGCCTCTGTGCCTGCCAGGCCCCTCTGTCCGTGGGGTTCTCCAGGCAAGAATACTGGAGCAGGTTGCCATTTCCTTCTCCGGGGGATCTTCCCAACCCAGGGATCGAACCCACGTCTCTTGTGTCTCCTGCATTGGCAGGTGAATTCTTTACCACTGAGCCACCAGGAAAGCCCTTAAAAGCATGTTAAGTCTTTATAAAATTGTTTTCCAAACTAGTTATCTTATTTCTCTTCAAATTCCTCTTCCATTTTGTCCATCGCTTATTGTTGGCCAATTGACCACTTTTTTAATTGGTTATTTTTATTAGTCTTCTTCAAAATTGTGAGATAATAAACTAGTCCTAAGTCTGTGATGTGAACCCCAGAGTTCAAGTACAATTTTAGTGGAAGGCATGGCTGATGGGAAAAGTAGGTCAGACAGCTCATGATAAACTGCTCCCAAGAAGGGGTTTTGGCCCCATCCACAGTGGACAGTTTTCCTCATTCTGACTTTATTAACTTGCTGCACACAAGCTTCCTGATCAGTTCACCCAGTAATTTTATCACAACTGCTCTTGGGGGTAATCATTCCTGGGACATAATTTAACTCAGGGGGTTTACAATTGAGCTATGGGCCAAAATATATGGGGAAAAAATGTCTCACCAGGATGCCTAAAGATCCTTGGTTTAAATATTTTGGCAATTCAATGCTCAGCAGAGGAATTCAACACAATTTTTTGAGTTCTGTTTCTTGGTTTCTTCCTTTCTTGGTTTAAGCAATGAGTTCACACATTGGTCTGGGCATGTGGTTCAGAGAACTGTCCTCAGATTCCATTTAAGCTTCGTGGAAGAGTGAATCTAGTTGCCACCTTTGTGTCTGAGGCTCTAGTTCACACTCCTTTGGCTTATTTCTAAATGTTTTTATTTTCTAATAAAAAATTAGTTCTTTCTGAAGACGCAGTACGTATGTACAATGGAATGTTAGTCAATCATAAAAAGGAAAATGGTGCCATTTGCACCAACATGGATGGACCTGAGTGAAGTCAGACAGAAAAGGTGAAATATCGTAAGACATCCCTTATATGTGGAATCTTAAAAAAATGATACAAATGAACTTACAAAACAGAAAGTCACAGACTTAGTGAAGTATGGGTGCTGGAGAGGAAGGATGTGGGCAGGGGCAGTTGGGGAGTCCGGGATGGACAGGGACACGTGGCTCTATTTAATGGATAACCACCAAGGCCCTGCTGCGAGCGTGGGGACTCTGCTGTGTTACGTGGCAGCTGGGTGGGGGCTTGGGGGAGAGTGGACACATGTATTTGTATGGATGAGTTCCTCTGCTGCCCTCCTGAAGCAATCACAACATTCTTTCTCAATCACCTATCCCCCAATACAAAATAAAAAGGTTTTTTAAAAAAGAAAAAACAATCACTTCTTTCTTCTTAGAGGTCATCTCGTCAGGGCTTCAAGTTCTTCTGTCTGCTGGAATGCTTTGTCTTTACTTAAAAGAATTAGCTTGCTGCTTAGTATGTAATGATGATGTCTTTTATCTGTAGGAAAAGGGGAATTAGTCCTTTTCTTTTTTTAAGGGGGAAATGAGTTCGTGCTGGGAGCACCTGGTAACCGCTGGTTACGAACATTTCTTTCGTTGACTTGAAAGACCTTTCGGAAACACTGCCCATGCTGAGGACTTGGCCTGAAAGTGCAAGAAAGAAGAGACGCTTCCTGCGGGTGCCCAGTGAAGGCTGATGGTGAGGCTGGGCCCCCTAGAGGGAGATGTCATCTGGTGGGGTGAAGCTGGCGGTGGACATGCGACCTGAGGGGTGACAGAAGCGACGTTCTGGCCTGTCTCACTTCCCATCCCCTGATTTCCTGCTTAGACTTGCTCCCGCTGGCCGCACCAGCCACTGGCAAAGGATCTGGAGGACCACGGAGGAGCTCAGCCTCCCAGGAGGAGAGGAGGGCGGAAATGGATGCTTCCCCGGCCAGGGAAGCCAGGAAGTGGAAAGGGCGGTGTGAGCGACCCCAGCGAAGCGTCCACACGGGGCGCCCTTTCTCAGGCCCCTTCCCAGCCATCGCCACACGGCTTCTCCCCACGGGGGCCCGCGCTGCTCCGCACGCGGACTTCTTTGGCTTTCGCTTCCGCTCGGCACCTCTCCTCTTCTCTGCCTTCTCTCCCAGTTTTCTGTTCTTGAACTTCTCTCCCCCTCTTCCTCTCCTGTCCTTGGAGCCTGCCTCAGCCTAACAAAAGGCCTAAACCTCCACTGAAAATCCCAAAGAGCTCTTTCATGAACTTTTTTTCCAGTGAAAGGAGATGGATTCAGGAGGACAGTTCTGATTTTTAAATGGAGAGACTTGCATAAGATGATCTTTTCAGGCTATGTCTATTGGTCTTGATGATCAAAAAGAATCATGATGTACTACTTACATTGTATAGTAAGAAAAAAAAAGACCAAAAATTTTTTTGAAAGGATAAAGAAAGCCCCATAAATACTGTACGTCTTTTGTCAGACAAGGATCGTCGATATATCTTCTCATTTCCTTTTTGGGTCTGCTGTTTTCAATTTCTAAGGCTGGTTACACCACTCAAGTGACTCATGGGCCCATTCTGAGTCGTGTTTCAGGTGGAATGAAATGAAGACATTCCAGTTGCTACAGACAATGCCTGTGGGCTGACAGCTGTCACATATCAATAAATCTGACTCTTATTAAGAATTATTGGTTATTAATCACCCCAGTCCCTGACTATGAAGATGAATTCCTTATTGCTGCGCTAACAGCTTTCAAAACATATACTTACGCCTTCCATCTGAAAGAGAGGAATCTGTTTCCCTTTCAAGACAGAAATGAACTTCTTTGGTGAGGACATCGCCCATGAATTTAACGGCCCTACAGTACGCTGAGCTCCGCCCTAAGAGGACAGTGATTCACGAAGATGTGGCTTTGGGCTGCAGAACCTCTGAAGCCTGAGCTGCCCTACTGTGGACGCTGAGCAAGGCACAGCTGGGCGCAGAATCCACACCATTCCTGGGTTTGTCTTTAACGGTGAAAGAGTGCCTGAATGTGCTGTGCCAACAGCTTGTAAATCCGTAACTGGGGGAGGCTACTGAGGCTCTAACTGCCCACAGCGTTAGTATCAGGTTCAGAGGGTCCAGTTAGGCTGGAAGGTGAAATGATACGCGGCAGCGAATGAACAGGAGATCACTCACACTCTGGTGGAATTGTCTTTGAAGCTGCATTGTGTTCTGTGAAACTGGAGGAACGGCTTCCCAGATAACCCTGGCTTCGCTGTGTGGCCATATTCAGAGGCCAAAGAAGTCACGATGAACCGAGCGCAGGTCCCCCCGAAGCTTCTCCGGATCGGATCAGACGGAGGGCTGGTCAAGGGGGAGACCCCTTCCCGCCTCCTCCCCGACACGTGCGGACCCTCGTTACCGTGCTGGCAGCGCCGTTTCCACGCGGAAGCTGCCCCGCAGAGCCTGGCGTCCTCCCCGGAGGGGAGTCAGGAATGCCTCCGAGGCGGAAGCTGTCTTGGCCCCGTCTCTCTGCTTTCCCAGTGTTCCCAGTTCCCGTCTGACTGGCATTTCCCTGTTGTCGGAACGTGCACTGTTTGTGTAAGTCAGAATGCAAGCTGTCCTCCGCGTCTGCTGCTTTTCACCCACCCAGCAGTTTTGTCTTGTGACCCAACTGTGGCCAGAGGGTCAGCCGGCACCCCTGCATTAGAAGGCGAGGCCTTAACCCCGGGACGGCCAGGGACGTTCCAGCCCCCCGCCCTCTTACACGCTTGTTGAGGAGACATGTAACCAGACAAGAAATACATAAAATCATTTCAGACAGGGCGACGGAATATGAAGGAAATAAAAGAGGGCGGTGTTGCAGGATAGCTTAGTGGGAGTAGGGGGTCACTACAGGAGTCGGTTTTCTTTGAATAAGCTGTTTTAACGCTGAGACTCAGAATGAGAAAGAACCAGCAATGCAGTGATCTGGAGGAAGAAGGTACCAGGTAAAGAACTGCAATTGCAAGGAGTCCCCAGGCTGGAGAGAGTTTGGGTTGTTGAAGGAACAACAACGGCTTTAGTGGAACCAGGGTGGAACATGCTGAGTGAGCGAGGGATTATGTCAGAGCGCGTAAGGGCCTGGGTGTACACCGTGACGGGGTGTTTTGACTTTATTCAGTTATATCCATCCAACTGCACAGCCTACGATTCTTCACCTCCTTCCTTATCCATCTTAGGTATCACGGTTCACTGTTACAATCTCTCCCTTGGGAACATCTTCCCCTTTTATGTTAGTTAGCTGTTGCTGTGTAACAAATTATACCAAAAAAATGCAGGGGTTCTTGGACAGTTCTGTCCCGCAAGACTGCAGTCAAGATGACTGTAAGCTGTCCGAGGCATGAATGGGCGGGGGCCTCGCTTCCAAGCTGACTCGCCCGCAGGCCCGGTGGGCAGTCCTGGCTGTTGGCAGCAGGCTTCCGCTCTGTGTCCCGTGGGCTGCTCCGCAGGACTTCTTGAGCGTCCTCGTGACGTGGTGGCTGGCTGCCCCCAGAGGGAGGGATCCAGGAGAGCGCAAGGTGAGAGTCACAATGCCTTTTCTGACCCAGCCTTGGCAATCACACACCACTTCACAACACCGACCAGTCACACAGGCCATCCTATTCACGTGGGACAGCAGGGGTCCCACACGGGCAGCCTGTCTCTCTGCACCTGCTAAAGATGAACGCAAACTGATGCGGTGTCTGCTGTTTTGATGTTTTTTTTCTCAGATACTCATTTGAAGACATAAATCGTAGAAATTGAGAACCCGTGCTCTGGGGCCACCAGGAACGCTGGGCTCAAAGATCGGGTTGACCACTCCTTAGCCCTGTGACCTGCGGCACATTTCTTAACCTTGCCAAGCTTCTGTCTCCTCATCTGAACACTGGAGGTCATTCCACCTCACAGCTCACGGTCAACATGAAAACTAAAGTGAGATGACGCTTTAAAACAAACTTAGAAATAGACAGCTAGTGGGAAACTGCCGTACGGCACAGGGAACTCAACTCGGTGCCATGATGACTGACGTGGGGGGCGGGATGGGTGGGAGGCAGGCCCTAGAGGGAGGGGACCCCTGTATGTAGCGCTGACTCTCACTGTTGTACCGTAGGAACCAGCATTGCCCAGCATTAAAGCAAGTGGCCTCCCATTATGAGTGAAAAAGTAAGCGATCTCTGTGGCTCATGTCTGCGTCTATCACACACACACAAGCAACGCTCTGAATTCAGTGATACTGTATTAATTTGAGAAACTGTATTTTGTTACACATTCACATCTTCTCAAATAAAGGAAATAAGCTAAGTTTTGATGAAAAATTAAATGCATCCAAACAGAAAAGAAAAACAGACTTAGCCATGATAATTGTCACACAAATTTTCAGTATATGTTATCAGCCGCTGTCCTTGCTCTTACTCCTTTTTTGTTACCGCAGAATGCAGTTACTCTTTGACGTATTTCACAAAGTTTGGTGATTTCACAAAGTTCAGCCTGCAGTCAGTTTAGATGGAACAGACAGTGGACTTGGTGGTCTGGATGACCCCCTGTGATGCATATTCAGGATGCCAGACATTCAGACCTGTCATAAAAATTTCTCCTTCAACACGGTAAAATTTGGCAGGCTCAGTGTTTGTCCTCAGATGAGCCATGAGTCAAGCATTGGGCCAGCTCAGTAGGAGCATCTAAGTTCAACCCCAGTGCAAAATCTAATCAGCACTCAGAGTCAAAGGATGAGTTGGTGGTTCAGGTATTTATATCAGAAGGTGTTAAAAGATTATTTGGAACATGGTGGAGGGTAAGAAACGGGATTTCAAATCCATTCCAGAATGACATTTCTTGACAGTCTTCAAGGAAATGAAGTTAATGAACTTTTGAAGATCATTCATTTTTTTTCCAACTAAGGTTTTTTCTGGACATGAGTTTCAACTAAGGTTTCAATGGACATGAGTTTGAGCAAGCTCCGGGAGTTGGTGATGGACAGGAGAGCCTGGCATGCTGCAGTCCATGGAGTCACAAAGAGTCAGACACGACTGAGTGAACTGAACTGAACTGAAGGTTTTTGAGTACCTACTATGTACCAGACACTAGGCCAGGTTCTGACAAAGTGGCTAAGAGCAAGTCTGCCTGAACCCCAACTCTCACGGTGTGCAAAATTTAAGTCAGCAGCTAGAGCGCATAGCCCTTTTTATTCTGTTTGATGGCTTAACTTTCTACAAGTTGCTAGAAACTTGAGGGATTTCCATCCATATGTTCAAATGAATAATAGCCTTAGTGGCAGGTATAACATTTGTACCCAGTTAATCAGCGACCTAATTATTCAGTAGCAGATAAAAATGTATTAACTAGTTGAGACAAATGTGTCTCCTGAAGCCAATGTTTAGAACTAAATTATCAACATATTTTGAGCAATAATGTCATGATCACAAATCATTTTTCTCAATTGTCTTTCTGAGGGCTAATACGAGATCCCTGGGAACTGTTTGTATTGCAAGATAAACACATTGATAATGAATAGATTCCCAAGGCAATTTCCAACTCTGGTGTGGAAATCTACACATTCCCTGAGCTCTGTTTGCTTCAAAGACAGGTGGAATTCCTTCTGAATTGGGTAAATGGAATGCATTCTGTAAACTGCACCTTTTGTTACAATTAGCTCAGTAGCTCCTGTGGTTCCTAATTTGGTCAGTCCCATCTGACCTGACAAGCCAATTCTTTGCTCAATTGCAAATCCATAGTGCAGATTTTAATCTCTAACAATTAATAACTCATCCCTACATATCTTGGATAGTTCACGACTGCCAATACGGGCATTTTTTCAGCTGTGTGTACAGGTCTCTAGGGAGACAATACATGTTTGTGAAATGAATGCATGCTTCTCTTCATTTTCAATTCAATGACTGGAATTTGCACCTAACACTTGAAATTTTGCACCATACTGAAATGAGATCTCAACAGAGAAAAATTCTAGCATGAGCAATAGTTCTCAACTGGGGTGATTTCACCTCCCAGGGGACATCGGGCCGCGTCTGGTGACATCTTTGGCAGTCACCATTGAGAGAGGTTGCTATTGGCATCTAGCAGGTAGAGAACCCAGGATGCTACTCAATATCCTGCAGTGTGCAGGACAGCACCCCTGCAGCAATTATTTAGCCTTAATGTCACTAACGCTGCTGCTGAGACGCTGATTCACCAGGGTGCGTGTCAGTCGCTCAGTCGTGTCCGACTCTTTGTGACCCTTTGGACTGTAGCCCACCAGGCTCCTCTGTCCATGGGATTCTCCAGACAAGAACACTGGAGTGGGTTGCCATTTCCTTCTCCAGGGGATCTTCCCAACCCAGGGATCGAACTCCCACATTGCAGGTGGATGCTTTACTATCTGAGCTATCAGGGAAGTCCAATTCACCTGGGGGGGGGGGTCTAGATAATTGTGTAAAAACAAACACTGTATTTTATACAAAAGAGAAGACAAGTCACTTAATTTATCCAAACCTGTTTGCTGATGTGTGCCCTTGGCTGGTAACAGTAACAGCTTCTTGCTGTTGCCGTGCGTTTAAGACGTGCGGCAATTCCCTGGAGGTGCAGTGGTCAGCGCTCTGCTCTCACTTCCGAGGGCCTGGCTTCTCTCCCTGGTCAGGGAAGTAAGGGTCCCGTAAGCTGTGTGGCAGAGCCAAATAAAGTAAGTAACGTACACGGAGCGCGGACTATGCTGCTGGCGCGCAGTGAGCCCTCCGGTCCGTGACTCTCTGTTATTGTCATTAGCTTCTCTACGCAGAGGACAGTGATATCAACCTCCGAGGTGCCCACCAGTGGCGTCCATCTCTCACGTGGTCTCCTCGCTGAGCAGGGCAGACCTCCACAACCAACAGGCTTTTGCAGAAATGACTTGTGTGACTTCCAAGCTTTTGTCCTAAAAGTGTGACTTCTGCCTTGCTCTAGCTGGGGGGGGGGGGGGGGTCAGCTGGGCTCTAGGTCCACGTGAGAAACTCTGTAGCGATGTCCACCTAGTGAAGACTAAGGCTCCCTCCAAACGGGCAGCAACTGGCTGCCCCACGAGGGAGCCATCCTGGGAGGGTTCCTCCAGCCTCAGTCGAGCTTTGGGTGGGGGGAAACGTAAATGACCTAAACTGACCCAAGAAGAGAAAGAAAATCTGAATAAACCAATAATCAACAGAGCAATTGGTGCAGTGGTCAAACACCTCCTTGCCCATGTCAGGGCTGGCTCCACAAGTGTGGGACCTCCCCCGGGCAGGCACATGGGACCCCAAGCTTAGATGGGCACTTGGTCTAATGCCTTGTGCCACTATCTTGAAATTGTTAAATCTTTTTAAACAAGAAGTTCCTCATTTTTAGTTGACACTGGATCCTGCAAGTTATGTAGCCAGTCCTGCCCATGCCTGTGTAGTTTTATAGGTTTTATAACTTTTAAAGTATTGATAATCTAAAGCCTTTTAGGAAACAGGAAAAGAAAGCAAGTTACCCAGTTTGTTTTAGAAGAAAAGCATAATTTTCAAGCTTCCAGGATCTCTAGAACAAAGTCATTTAGACGTGTAGGGATAAAATGTGATTTCATCAGGTCGGCCAGAACATGAGTAACTACCAGAGTCATTCATTACCAAGGAAGTTTGATATTGACCTCCACGTATGAACTGTCCTTTCCTCCAATGAAGTTTTCTGATTTTTTTAACTTTTCTGGTCCTAACAAGGAACATGTTGGACAAACTTATCCTAAGTTCATTCCATGCTAGTTGATGAGTTAACTATTTTAAGCTCTTCCGGTACTTGTAGACTTTTAAAGCCTTAATGTGAATTTTTTTCCAGATCACTTGCTAGTGAACCATGGAAAAAATTGGCAGATTGAACGGATGTTTGTCCAAAGTCAGACTCAGCACCTTTATCCAGAAACTCTAAGGAAAAAAAAAAAAAGCTGAAGTTTGTCTCAGGAATTTCATGAAGACCACAATGGCAGCATATTCTGCTGGGTCTATGGTTCTGATCTAATCAACACCGTGTCTTTAGAAGGCAGTTCTGAGCTAGTCTTTGTGGCCTTATGATTTTAGTTGCTCGTTTTAGTTAATCATCTGCTTCTGTTTTTTAATGCAAACCAGAATCCACTTTGCTGATGAATCAAAAACATCTGTGCCTCCATTCTTACTCACATTCGTGTTTCCTGCCTTATTTTCATTTATTCATTTTCAATAAGAAGATAACTCATATGTGAGGTTTTCCGACAGCCGAAAGGTAGCTGAAATTAAAAATCTCAGAACATTTCGGAGAACAATGATGACAGATAATTTCCTACCATTCAGGTGTTAAAGAACTAATCAATCCAAGCTTGCAAGGTGGGATGAGCTTGTCTCTGTAGTGAATGATGCTATGAAGAGCAGAGAACTTCCAGAAGGGAATAAGGAGCAACTCTTGCAATGTGAGAACAGAATTGCTTTATCCTTAACAGGCATAAAATTTAATAGGATGCAATAGGTATTTGTTGGGCAAATCAGTGCATGACACTGTTCTGATGGTTAATTTGGGACTTACTAAGCTCTTTTCTTGAGGGGGGCTTCCCAGGTGGTGCTAGTGGTAAAGAACCCACCTGCCAATGCAGAAGACAAAAGAGAAGTGGATTCGATCCCTGGGTCGGGAAGATCCCCTGGAGGAGGGCACGGCAACCCCCTTCAGCATTCTTGCCTGGAGAATCCCACGGACAGAGGAGCCTGGTGGGCTGTAGTTCCTGGGGTCACGAAGAGTCAGGCACGACTGAAGCGACTCTGCACGCATAGAGACTTCTTTTTGGACTTTCCTTTTTAATAGGAGGTGACCCTCATTTTCCTGCCCTGTGGACTCCCCAACACAGACACTCACTCATAAAACCAACAGAAGAGAGTTTGCTGATAGGACTGATGTGAGTCCTTTATGACATAATCGGGGTGACACCCCAGCACCCTGGACACAGTCTGTCAGAAGCCAGTCACAGGTCTGGCTGGTACTTCTGGGGGGTTGTTTAAAGATGTGACTCAGGAGGTGGGAAACACAGAGGCCACCTCCGTGTCTGGGCTCCATGGCCAAACCTCTCCGGGTCAAATCCCAGCCCCATTGCATATGAGTTCCAAGAACCATAAGCATTTACAAATCTCCAAGACTGTTTCCTCATCTGTGAAATGGAGCATCTACTTGCCCCTTCCTCCAGGGTTATTAAATTCTAGCAGTTCCTCATTTCCATATACCCTTGGGACATCTTCATGCTGGCTGCCTGACATCACTCCCTATCACCCCCCCACCTTTAAAATGTAACCCCCTGCTCGGGGAACTAAGATCCCACCTGCCTCCTGTCGCACCCAAAAGATTTTTTAAAAAATAAAATGTAAATCAACTTACTTAAAAAGCAAATTTAATAGTACTCCTAGAAATTTTTAAGTAGTAGCATTATGGAGGAGAACTGTAAGCACACATTAACAGTAATAAAGATTACTTGTGTGCAGACCTTCAAAATTCATCCTGCACATCATATGTGAAGGCTGTGTTTGCGCCCTTGAGTGGCTGGGGCCGGGAGGGCGGCGTGCAAAGAGCCTGAGCTCAGCTCGGCTCACGGACACACCAGAATCACACCCATCTGCAGAACAGTCATCGGAGAAAAAGGCCAGAGCCAGCACATTAGATCTTCCACAGCTAAGACATAAAGAAGGAGCACGGCCAGACGAGGAGGGCAGACCCGCACTACAGTCGGTGCACGACCCCCGGAGCGGGAGTGGGAGCGGTTCCACCGCGGGGTTTCTCCCGTGGGAGCCAGAGCTCGGAGCCCACAGGGCCCTCCAGCCCAGGGTCCTGCCCTGGGAAGAGGAGCCCTCGGAGCGTTAAGCTTTGAAGGCAGGCAGGGCCTCACTTTGGGAGCGCCCCAGGACTGGGGGAAACAGAGGCTTCCCTGGGGGCCCTGCGGTGAAGACTCCGCCTGCCCACGCAGGGGACCCCCGAGCCGCCAGGACCACGGCGCCCTCCCCCTGCAACGGAAGACCCCACAAGCTTCACGCAGCTAAGAACTAACGCAGCCAAAACTGACCAAATACATATCTTTAAAAAAAAAACAAAAATGGGTGCATATGATTCAAACGTTTTGCAACAATAAAAGGGCCCACAGCCCCTCACGTGCCCCTGGCCGTGGGCAGAAGCAGCCAGTGGACCGGAGCCGCAGACAGACACCGGCGGGGGGCACCTTCGGGACCTAGTGGACAGTGCTGCTTGCTGGCCGCCGGCCCAGGGTCCTCCCTCCTGCTCGGGGGAAGGCTGGGTCCACCGGACCGCCGGTGGGCACAGCGTGGACGCCTCAGGCCACGTGGCTAACTGGCCAGGGACCCCCTCCCAGCAGGGGGGCCGCCTAGAGACCCCGAGCCCACAGCGCTGCTCCCCGCAGGCCTCGCGCCAGCTGCGCCCCCCCCCCACCCCCTGCAGTGCAGGCATCGGTTCCAGAACCCCCTCGGCTAGTCTGGCCCTGCCCTCCAGAGAGCTGGCTGTTTGTGCCGGGCCGGCCTCGGCCACCAGGGGGCAGGTGCCAGACGCAAGAAACACTATGATCTCAGGCCTAACTAATTAATTGAAAAAACCAGCAGAATCTGTCTTGCATGTTGAGGAACTAAGATCCCACACGCCAAAGAGCACCGCGAGCCGCAACTGCTGCCGCCCCGAGCTCCGGAGCCCGCGGGCCACGAGCAGAGCGTCTGTGCACGCTGCTGAAGGCCCCGCGTGAAGCGACCAAGGCTCCAGACAGCCAGAGAAATCAGTATACTCGTCAACACATCTCTGTTTTGGCTGCACTGACTTTTGTTTTTTTTGCACGGGCTTCTCTAGTTTCAGCGAGGGGGCTGCTCGAGTCGCAGCAGCGCGCAGGCCTCTTCCTGCAGCCGCTTCTCCTGGGCGGAGCGCAGGCTCTGGCGCGTGGGCTGCGGGCACGCGGCTCCCAGGCTCGAGGGCGCAGGCTCAGTAGTTGTGGTGAACGGGCCTAGTTGCCCCGCAGCATGAGGGATGTTCCCAGACCAGGGGTCAAGCCCGTGTCCCCTGCATCGTCAGGCAGATTCTTGTCCACTGCACTGCCACAGAGGTCTAATAAAGAAATAAACATTAAAAAAAAATCAAATAGCTGAAGTTCGTTAGTGCACCATAAGCTCAAAAAAGAAAAAAAAAAAACCCCACTACCCCCAGCTGGGGTTCCAGCTGAACCCTGGCTCTGACCCCTTGCAGGTAAACAGAAGCTTCGGGATATCCCAGACCCGATGCTCCACCATGTCAGGAACTAGCCCCTCCGCCAGCGAGCTGACACCAGCTCCGGGGTCCCTGAGCCACACAGCCAGACTCCAGGACCCGGCTCTGCCTGCCAGCAGTCTGGAACTTACCCCAAGTCCTGCCTTCACCTGCCAGTGGGTGGGCAGCAGCTCCAGAGTCTCCTGGACACTCTGCCTGCCAGGGAGACAGTGTAAGCCCAGGGGTCCCTGGGATTCCGCAGGCAGCTGCTCCGTGATCCGGGCCCGCCAAGCAGCAACCTGCAGATTGGGGGTCAACCACGCCTCGCAGACCACCCACACAGTCAGCCCTCCACGCAGCCTTCACTGGGGAGCCGCTGGGGCATAGAGCTGGGGTGATGAGAGGGGTGTGCACTGCTGTATAGTGGGATGCCTCCTGCGAAAAGCCACCTCTCCAAGGCTGGAGACACTGAGGCTCATTGTCGTGGAGACGACAGTTAAAGAGTGAATACTGAAACAACAAGGGAAAAGCAGCAAATACCAGACGAGAGACTCCATGGGGCTACAGTTGATTTGTCAGCAAAAACTTTGCAGGCCAGAAAGGAGTGGCATGATATATTTAAAGGGAATGAAAAGGGCTATTTAAAGAGATGAAAGGGAATAACTTACTCCCCAAGAATACTCCCCTCACCAAGGCTCTTGATCAGATTTGATGGAGAAATCAAAAATTTTACAGACAAGCAGAAGCTGAAAGAGGTCAGCACCAGCACACTCTTTAGGAGAAATGTGAACGGGGCCGTCCCTGGTGGTCTAGTGGCTCAGGCACCGTGCTCCCGACACAGGCGGCCCAGGCTGAAGCCCAGGTCTTGTGCGCCTCAGCCAAGACCCGGCACCGCTGATAAATAAGTAAAGATTGAAAGAAAAAAGGAAATTGTCTAAGAGAAGGAGAGAAGGTCACAACTAGAGACAAGAAAAGATGAAACGAAAAAGCTCCCGGGTAAAGAGGAAAACATACAGGAACGGGAGAAGACCCACCACATACAAGGCTTGCAGGAAGGTTAAAACAAGAGCAGACAAAATCATTTCTGTCCACAAGGAGCAGTTAAGGGACACACAGAACAATTAGATGTTAAACACGGTGTTAAAAGTAGTGATGGTGAGGAGAGGATAAATCCAGGGCTGTTAAAACGCGCTTAAAATTAAGAGACCAGCCACAGAACACAATCATGTACACATATACGCTGCCATATAAAACCTGGTGGTAGGGACTTCCCTGGTGGTCCAGTGACTAAGATGCCACACTCCCAACGCCTGGGCCCTGGTTCAATCCCTCGTCAGGGAACTAGACCCCACAGGCGGCAAATAAGACCTGGCACAGACAAATAAATAATTTTTTTTTAACTCGTGGTATCCACAAGCCAAGATCCATAATAGAAATACAAACAAAAAAGAAAACAGGGTAAATAAGCACCCTTAATAAATACAGTGAGAAAAAAATCAGCATTGTTGCTGCTAAGTCGTGTCTGACTCTTTGAGACCCCACGGACTGTAGCCCACCATGCCCCTCTGTTCATGGAATTCCCAGGCAAGAACACTGATGTCGCTTGCCATTTCCTCCTCCAGGGGATCTTCACGACCCAGGGATCGAACGCAAGTCTCCTGCATTACAGGCGGGTTATTTACCACTGAGCTACTAGGGAATACGGCACCAGGCACATAGTTGGTGCTTAATAAATACAGGCTCAGTCCAGCTCAGCCGCTCGGGCGTGTCCAACTCCGCGACCCCACGGACCGCAGCACGCCAGGCCTCCCTGTCCATCACCGACTCCTGGAGTTTGCTCAAACTCATGTCTATGGAGTCAGTGATGCCATCCAACCATCTCATCCTCTGTCGTCCCCTTCTCCCCCCGCCTTCAATCTTTCCCAGCATCAGGGTCTTTTCTAATGAGTCAGCTCTTCGCATCAGGTGGCCAAAGTATTGGAGTTTCAGCTTCAACATCAGTCCTTCCAATGAACACCCAGGACTAATCTCCTTTAGGATGGACTGGTTGGATCTCCTTGCAGTCCAAGGGGCTCTCAAGAATCTTCTCCAACACCACAGTTCAAAAACAGTAAATTCTTTGGCGCTCAGCTTTCTTTCTGGTCCAACTCTCACATCCATACATGACTATTGGAAAACCATAGCTTTGATAATATAACATAATTAGGTAATATAAGCACAACTAATGCTTAACAATTATGTGTCTGGACTTGGCTTTCCAACTCCTCTCATTGCTGTGTTGCCGGCAACTGTCACCTACCAGTCAGTGCCTGCACACAGCAGGGGACACGGACTGGCCCCGGGTAGCTGTCACCTGCTGTAAAGAGACCAGAGCAAATTACGACTAAAGAAGTGTCCAAACCAAA